CGGAGCCGCGGCCGCCCGCCGGGGCTGCGTCCCCGCGTCCCTTTTGCCGGCCGAGGCGAGGGCGGACTCGGATGGAGGCTCCGGGGCCCCGAGCCCTCCGCCCCTCCGAGAGCGTTTCCCAAGTTTCGCCCGGTTTGATGAGTAAACAAGCCGCACGGAGCGTGGCGTCTGAAGTCGACTCAACTCCGTTCGGGCTCTGTGCCCGGCCGTCACCATCCTGAGTTGTCGCCCGGGTTGTGAGAGCTGGGGCCTTGGGGTCACCTCCGAGCCCTGCGTGCTAATCAGCTTGGTCGGCAGCACCTGGTGGCTCCGGGGAAAAAACAAAAAAAAAGAAAAAACGCAGTTAAACGCCACTTTCAAACCAGATTCTAAATTTACCTTTTTTCCTAATGTAAATTGCCACGTAGGCTTTTGGGGTCATTTATGTAGTATTTTATGACAGTTGCTGTTTTGTGTGTTATCGCCAGGCCTACGGGGGCAAAAATTTTGTAAACCATGAACGTGGATAAATGGATAAAACAGGTTGTCTTAATTTTCATTTAAAAACGTGTAAGGAGGGGTAAGAGGCACAGATAGGAAAATTTCAGGTTTGATTGGTGTGTTATTTTGACTGCAGGCGTACTTTTCCTGTTTCTAATTAGTGTCAAAACTCACTAGATTTTAAATCTGTACAGTTTGTTAATTGTGAGTTATATCACAAAGTCTTAAAAGTAATGGTTAATGCCACGAGAGTGGATACATGATGTACTATAACTATAAAAAGAGAAAACATGATGAAAATTCCAGACTCCTCACCCCAAAGCAAGGCCTAGAACGTTACCTAAACCAGTATGTGCTCATGAGTTTCTTATCTGGTCTCCCCCAGTTCACTGTTTCTTGCTGAGGTAAACAATCTAGACCTGTGGATTTTATTTATCTTATTTATCGTTCTCTGGTCTTTTTAAAATCAGTTTTGTCACATACTAATCTCTTCAAACCATGTCATTTTAGGTTCCTCTCCCTTTGAACTTTGGACAGGTAGTATAGGCTTGTGGTTCATACATATCATTGCTTTTTAATGATGTGTTCCTCTCCTAACCCCACGGTTGCGATAGTGTTTCTTGTTTTGCTTCTAACGAGTGTACTCTGGGAACTTTTCTCCTTCCAGCTGTTGTTGCACAAGTTGTCTAAAGCAAATACTGACGATCCTAGGAGAAAGTTTTAGGCAATCAGGAGTAAAATAGAAATGAAAACATTAAGATTCTGCTTTCTAAAGCAAGGTACACTCCTGTATTCCCTGCACTCGGGCGGCAGAGGCAGGCAATTCTTTGTGAGTTCAAGGCCAGCCTGGTCTACAGATTGAGTCCAGGGCAACTAGGGATCTGTTACACAGAGACAACCCCGTGTCACAACAAAACAAAAATTCTGCTTCCTTTAATCAAAAGGACTCATTGTCTTTGTGATCCGTTGGTTCCTAGTTGTTATATTTGCATGAGGAACTAAGATTTCTGTTAATCTCTTTACACTGAATCCCTTCAAAGGGGTTGTGGAAAGTATGGCACTCTTTGGTACCCTTTCAGTGCAAAACTAGCAAGTTGGACAAAACATGTGATGTTTTGTAAAGCCACCCTTTCTGTTCCCTACCACTCCTCCCCTCCCTTTAGTCTTTGGCAGAATACTGTGGAGTCTTCTTTGCCTTAAACACTCTTGCAAAAGAAACTTGTAGTAAGCTTTCTCTGCCTAGTTGGCACAGGCTTTGCTGGAGTGGATTGTCTGTCAGAGGGCGGAGCATTTAAGGGAAACATTAGGACCCACGTGTCATTTTGCAATTTTTGAGAAGGATATATGAGTGTGTGGTAGGCATCAGGACTTGTCAACACACATTGAAGTATTTTTTATGTTTAAGAATGTTCCAGGATGTGCTCCAGACAAATTACAGAGCAGTATTTCCTTAATTTCTCAAAGATGGTGTGTGTGTGTGTGTGTGTGAGTGTGAGAATGGGAGCATGTGTGTGTAGAAGTCAGAGGACAGCTTTGTAGACTCAGTTCTCCCCTTCGTGGGTTCTTGGGATCAAACTCAGATCATCAGGCTTGCACAGCAAGAACTTTTACCCACTTGAGCTGTCCTGCCATTGCTGAATGAGTTTATAGATTATGGTAGTCCTAGGTTCAAAGTCCTTCAGTGACTTTTCAATCCATGAGATAAAATTCAGACACAGTTTTACTGTGGTTTATATAACCTACACTGGTTGTGCCAATAAAAATACAATGCAAACTTCAAGTCAGAGCCATGCTGAGTAAATTAAAATATTTTCAAAGCCAAACTACAAGAGAAAGGCAGTGAAATATACTTTTATTTAACCTAAGATGCAGTGCTTGCCATATGTGATGAGTGTGAGAGATTATTTGGTGGGATAGTTTACACTTATGGAGATGATGTGTACCATCCACTTGCAGTGTGTCCTAGTTCAAATTGGCCATGATTCATTGTTTATACTTCTAAGATCTTTCTTATTGTGCCTTTTATCTGTCTCGGATCGCAGCCTTTTGTCTGTATTGCAAATATTTTTCCTGGCTCTTCATTTGCCTTGTATTTGCTTACAGGCCTTGCTCCTTTCTCTTCTCTTCTAACCCCTGTTTCCTTCCTTATACTTTTAATGTATCTTGGTTAATAATTATCTTTTAAAGATTTATTTTGTTTGAAGATTGTATGTGTGTGAACTTGTATTGTACATGCAGTGAATGTTGGTCCCTTGGGAGGCCAGAAATGGGTGTTGGATCCCCTGGCGCTGGAGTTACTGTCTGATGTGGATGTTGGGAATCTAAACTCAGGTCCTCTGAAAGAGCAGTATGCATTCATAGCCACTGATCCATCTCTCCAGACCAGTACTTATATTGAAAAGATGATTGTTGCTGTGTATATGATCTGGGTAGGAGGCGCATGCATACATGCGTGGTGTGAAACATTTATGGAGGTCAGAATGTGACTTTGGATCTGGGAGATCAAACTCAGGCTGTTGGGTTTATATAGCAAACACTTTTTCCACTGAGCCATCTTGCCAGCACAATTACATTTTTATGCCTTTATTCTGCTTTTATATTTAAAGTAGTCTTCTCAGATAATTTTCAGTTCTTTTCAAATATTTTTATTATTTTTAATTGGGGGGGTCCAGTGTGTGCATGAGTGTGCAGGTGTCATTGGCAGCCAGAGGCACTATATTTTCTTGGAGCTAGAGTTATAGATGTTTATGAGCTGCCCGGTGCTGGTGTGGATGCTGGAAACTGAACTCAGATCCTCTGTAAGAGAAGTACTGGCTCTTAACTTCTCAGTTATCTCTCTAGCACTTCTTTCAGTTCTTTAAAGTTTTTCTTTTTCTTTTTTAAAAAATATCCATAGTTCTGTGTTCTTCTGACAAGTGTTTTAGTAACATAAATATTAATTGAAATAAGTAGATGCTTAACCGGTTATTACAATTCTATCAAAAATACTGACTGTGGGTACAGGCCACAGAAGTCTAGGGACCTGAGTCCATCCATCATCAGTTTCCATGGAAAGGTAGAAGGAAAAAGCTACCACCACAGAGTCGTCTGACCTCCAGACATGCCTCCTCTGGCACATGCATTCCCAGTCCCCATCTCATCATGGATACTTCTGTATTTTCACACAAACAAAAACTTCAAAATTTTCAACAACCCACCCTACCCCCACTTCACCCCTCAACTCTCCACTCCTGCCTCCCAGTGTTTCTTTAAAATAAAAATACCTTTATTTACATGCTAAAATGAATACACACTTGATTCTGTTTTGTTTATTCAGTACCACTGGCTTGGTATTAATACTATCTTTCACTTCAAAAACTTGGTTGCTATTTGTCAGACCCTGCTCCTGGCTCAGTGGACAAGTGCTTTCCCTGGGCTTGCACGGAGCCCTGGTGTGTGTTTAGAAAGTTCCTGTAGCTATACCTTTCTTTCAACACTCTGAGCACCTGATATACACCAGACTTTGTGGTAAGTGCTGGGGTATTGCTGTTCCCAGGATGTGGTCCTTGCAATGCAATTCCATGGAGTTTCTAAGAATAAGAAAAGCATACAATTAAAGCAATAGACAGGACGTTTCAGATTTTAACGTGTTTAGAAAGAAAGAAATGATAGGTACTAATTGAGTGCTTTTATAGTGTATCTCTAAGGAAGTAAACAGTTGATCAGTGCTACCAACCTGGTTTCAGAGTTTCATAGTTTCACCAACATGATGGAACTTTTAAAAAAATGCTCCCTGCGTAGATCTTAGGTTGGACTCCAATTTACAATCCCCCTGCCTCATCTTCTTGAACACTGAGTGCCTGCCATTGTACCTGACAAAAATCTAATGATGAACTTATTTTTTTTTTTTTTTTTTTTTTGTAGCCACCTTCATCCTGCAGCCCTGCCCTAAAGTTTGTCCTGTGATTCTGGTCTGAGATTGAGGAGTTAAGAGGAATCCCCAAGGAGGGGAATGGCTAGTGTAACAGATACAGTATTTGACTTGACTTAGAACTTGAGGGAAGATT